GGTTTCCTTGAAAGGCAAGAATTTTTGGAGAGGGAAGGGGTGATTGTTAGCAAATGATCATACATTTTCAGGTTAGGAAGAGAGCTTTTGAAGCAGCAAAAAGGAAAACCACTGGCAAAGACAAGAAGGGGAGAAAGGATGGGACCAGTAGTTTGATGACTTCTGGCCAGATAGTGAGGGCTTGGTTGGAGTCATTGTGGTTAATTTGAACATACAGTTCTAAATCTGGCCCTGTGGTCATGCTACCTGGGGTAGGCCAGATAACTGCAACTTCAGCTGGCTTTCTCACGTGCAGTTGTGGAATTCTTGAGCAAGCAATATTTATCTGTTAAGCATAAGTGTGATTAGTTGCAAAGTCAGCAGCTAGCTTTGATTAAGGAAAATGGAATCATTTAAGCTACTTTTACTGTATAGCTAACTTAGAATGCAGCTTTTGTGTACAGGATGGGGAATGTGGTGTAGCTAAGGTGGGGCTGCAAATCTGGAGGCAAGGGGAGAGGGTGACATATATAAGACTTTCACAAGCTCATGTAAGAAATTAACCAGTGTTTATATGGCCCAACATATTCACACAAGAGCACTTGCCTATTTTCCATTGCAGATTTTCATACTTACTCTTAAATTTATCTGGTTCCTCTGTTCTACAGATGTGTTAAAGCCAAGATGAGCAACCAACATATGTACTACCATCCCTGAAGGCTAATGAGCTGCATTTATTATGTTCATAATTCTAACTGGTGTTATTCTGGTGATTGTAAAATACTCTCACACACATAGTTATTTTCCTAACATCTTAAATATATAGTAAACCTGAGATTGTAATATGCTATTATTGAGAATTTTTTGTAAGGTTGAAAATGAAGTCCTGAATATAGTAGTCTAAGTGTTGCGCTGGAATAGAGGTACAATTCATGTGACAGGGTAAACTGTGATTGACTCTGTTAGTTAATGTTTTATGATGGTCTTTTGCACTGTGGAACACCTAACTTCAGAATGCCCCATTCTCTAGTTCTTGTACTGCTTCAATTTTGAAAATTGTCTTTCTTTACTCTTTCCACATTTTTTGAATGCATTTTGGAGAGATTTTATCCATGCCCCTGGCTTCAGTTGGTCTGTCTGTGAATGATGAGTTCCAGTGATGTATCTAGTCCACTAGGATCCAGGGTCACATATTTAACAGCAAGCACATTTGATTCATGTGGCTCTTGTGCCAACATTATCAGCCCCAGCTAATTGCTCCTTTGCAGTGTTGAACCTGGTCTCCCATCCCAGGACTACTAAATCTGAATCTGAATTTGGTCAAGATCCCTGGTTGTATTCAACCGAGGGAGTGGTCTTCTGTGTGATTTTCAAAGAACGTTCCCACCACACGTGTTATGAGTAGACCTGCTGCTTTCTTAGCTTTCACTCACTGGTTAATTTGCTAACTGTTTATTGGAAGTGCCACGCCACCACCACCAATTTCAATTACCTTCTAAGGGGGATTTGGTGATTTTCTGGTTAAGTGTCACAGAGTGAATACTGAAAGTTAGGTAAACGAGCAAAGGTGTTTATTCAAGGGATGGAGAACATGAGAAGCAGGAGCTGTGCTCTCAATTCAAGGGTCAACTTGTTGGGGACAGAGGAGTCAGAGGCAGCAGGCTGCAGGCTTTCTGGAAGATAGCATCACTAGAATACGGAAGCCATTCACGGCAGGGGTGGGATTGCTAGCTCGGAAGCTGGGTTAAAATGAAGTTGGAAGTTTTCTGATTGTTGCTGAAGCAGCAATAGTAGGTCTGGCTGATTGTGGGCCCTTAAGTTCGGGGAAAGGGCAAGTTGACTGCAAGAAACGACTGTGTTTGTGCAGTGCTGGACATTCCGTTAGCCCAATGGCTCACTGCCCTCGCTAACACCGGCAAGGTGCAGGAGTAATGACAGAGATTCTCAGAGTTAACCTGTTAGAGTTTCACCTTCAGAAGATGTTCCAGGAAAACCTACAATACACATTTATACTCATACTGCTGACACACCCCAAAACTCCCCAGTTGGAATCAGGGTTTTGTAACTCATCTTTGGTGAAGATGTGTATCACTTGGCCAGGAAGTGCCCTTCTGCTGCCCACTTTGTGCATCCTGGACACTTCCTGTAAGCGCCCTGCTAAACTGCTTCTACAGAGACAGTTTCTTTAGGAAACTCTGCCTCCCTGTTGCTTCCTTCCCTTGTCCCAAGTAGATAAAGCTTCCCCCTGAAGAATTTTCTCTTGAGCCTGGCTACTTCAAGACCCCTCCAAGGAACACACTCCCTGAGTGTACAGAGAGAGACATAGTCATGCAAACGGAGGATGATGAGACGGGCTAAGCAAGGCACTGAGAGAAGAAACTGGGACAGAGCAGTCGGAAACCTTTCCTTTTAAGGATCTATTGATCAGTAAGGGGAAAGGAAACTAGGGCTCCCGACACAGAAACTGCTGTAGGCAGTCTGAGATCCACGAAATATTCCTTCGTTTTTATGAGATCAATCTGGAACTCTCAGCATGGTAGCCATTTGCACCTGATCTCTTTGTTGCCAGTTGACTACAGATCTAAATGTGTACACTTATAGAGAAAATTCAGGATGGGAGACACGACTTTTCCTTCATTGAAGCTTATCTTTGCAGAAATGACAGTCTTGCTCATTTCTGTTTTAGCAGCTGCCGAATAAGAGCTGGGCAGTTTTGTGAGTAAGATGTCTCCACCATGGAGGCAGTCTACTCAAGTGGTGCATCCATTTGTAGTAGAACTGCAGGAAAATAAAGCTTTTTGAATTAAGTGTGTGTTATGAACTGAGTCACACTCAATGTTTCTTACAACCACTTTTCTTCTTCTTTTTTTTTTATTCATTGGTATCCTTGTTTGGCCAGGATTTATTAAGTGTTGGCTAAATAGAAAATACTAAGCATGGCAACTTTATTATTTCTGTGATTCTAATGTTCAAAAATAATATATATTCTTGCTTTAGATCAGCAGTATCAATTTCTGCAAATAACTGCAAAAGAACTAATAGCAGAAGTATAAAAATAATTCTGTTGAATCATAGTGCTATCAAAAATATCATAATTTTTATAGGTTTATTTCATTTATCAGAAAGGCAGTGTAGGTGTCGGGGCCCAAACACTTCAGCCTCTCCTGCTACCTTGCCAGTTACATTAGAAGGAACCTGGAACAGAAGCAGAGCACCTGGAACCCCAACCTGGACTCATACAGGATGTAGCCATTGCAGGTGGAGGCTTAACGTGCTTTGCTAAAGCTCCAACCCATCAGATTTAATTATTTAATTTTTATTTTATTAAGAAGTCAGATATACAGAGAGGAGGAGTAGAGACAGAGAAGAAGATCTTCTGTCTGTTGATTCACTCCGCAAGTGGCTGCCATGGCTGGAGCTGCTCCGACCTGAAGCCAGGAGCCCAGAGCCACTTCTGACTCTCTCATGAGGATGCACGGTCCCAAGGCTTTGGGCCATCCTCGACTGCTTTCTTAGGCCACAAGCAGGGAAATGGATGGGAAGTGGGGCCTCTGGGATTAGAACTGGCACCCATGAAGGATCCCGGCACATGTAAGGTAAGGACTGTAGCCGCTAGGCTACTGTGCCAGGCCCACAGATTTAGTTTTTAAAAGTTATGGTTGCTTTAGCTATATTTTTTCAGTGACTGCTTTTAAAAATCTCAGTTTAAAAGGGGTTATGTTTTAAATTTCACTGGGGGTAGCATGATCTTGCAATAACTACATTCCTGCTGCTCACTTCAAGAATTTCTTCATTTTGCCATTTTTTTATTTGTATAAAGGGAGCAGCTCTCATGCACTTCATATATACACTTTTAGGAACTTCATCCTACTTCTCATCTACCCTTCTTAAACTCCTCCTTTCTTACTTTTGTTCCTTTTATTTTTTTTTAATAACATGCTCCAATTTGGTCACCACAAGCTTAATCCTCCACTGAATAAAAAATCCAACAAGTAGAAAATAGAAAACCCATTATTCCACATGTGTATAAATAACTGTTATAAATGAAAACCAAGTCCCAAGATGTCAACTTAACTCCTACATGTCCTTTTTCCCCACTGTAGCTCAGCTAACACAAATCAGAGGGAGTGTATGCTATTTGTCTTTTGGGGTGTGGCTTATTTCACTAAGCATGATTTTTCCCACTTTTTAGTGTGTTTGCATGTCTTCTATGTCAGATTTTAAATTTTCATTTCATTTTCAAAACATTTGTTTATATCAAAATTGTCAGAAACAAAATCTTTGGGACTTGATGTTTTGAAATGTTAAATTCAAGTTCTTAATACTTTAAAGCCTTGATTTTACAGCTAGAAGTTTTTGATGCTACATTTAAAATAAAAAGAAAAGTGCATTTTTGTTTTATTTTGCTTCTCATCATTGACAGGAAGTCGGAAGTATTGTGGCAAGCAAAGCGTCTTTTGAATATTCAAAATATTTCCTACAGCAACTTTTATTTTCCTGCTTCAACAATATCTTATGTATGTGGATTTAGAGCCATCTTTAGTGGTGATGCCAATTTCTATGATTTGATAACAAAGAATGCGAATATGTAACGTGAGTCTTCTGAAGTTTTCATTCATAAGCAATCAGCAAGCTGCACGTTTCTGACTTTTTTTTTTTAAGATGGAAAAGGAACTAATACTGAGATTTATGTGGCAGCTACTGGTAAGGATCTCAGGAGGAGAATTAAAATGATAGCCCTCAGTGAGTGTTCTGCATCCATCTACAGTGGTCACAAGCTCTCAGACCGAAATCCATACGCCTGGAAAACTTTTGTTTAAAGAATAGATTCACATGTTGACATTTCTTATTTCTTTTAAAAAAAAAAGTGTGTCTGGGTTATGTTAGAAGTTTTTTAAATAAGTGAAAGTAGAGAAGATTAAAAGTTGTATTCTGAACGTCATGCCAAATAGCACGGGCGTTTTATCTTCACATTTATTGTGAGGTTTTAGTTTTAATTATGTATTTTTTCTTCCCTGCAGAGAATTCATCAACAGCTTGAGGCTATACAGGTCCTTCTATGGAGTGCTGGCTGATCAGCTTTGTGTTAAGGAATTAGCTGCGGCTGAGGGGCTTCCCTGCTGGAATGGAGAAGACGTGGTTAACAGGTACTGTGTGTTGAGTCTTCTGCCTCAGTGGCTGCGTTCACCATCACTTTCTTTTCCTACATCTTGGCTGAGTTACTTTGTCTCACAGGTCAGAGTTTAGACCAATTCCTTCTATGTTTGTTAAAATAATTTGATCATTCTGTGACGTTGTCAAATCTCTTTTTCACCTGTGATATTATTTCTCATGTCTTTTTATCACATCTTGAATGTTCTTTCTGCTTAATTTCATGAATCTTACAAAGTGAGGAAATGCCATGAATTTTGACTGTCTATGCAAGATCCATTGAGATTTGGCTCTTTATCTCTGCAGCGACAGAGGAATAGGAGAGCGGTGGGCAGCTGTGTGTATACGTATGTGCTCACGTGAGAAGTTACTTCCATGGATCTATTTGAGACATGTACATGTATGTTGCGAGTTGTTCACAGGTTTACGAGTAAAACCTCACTTTTGCATTTCTTCCTGTCTAGAATTTCTCTGATCACTTATTGCTTCTGAACTTGGTTGTACTCTTGGTCACCTGCTGAGTTTGAGAAAGTTTTAAATTGTCTCTCTGGATTCAGTACAACTCTGATTTTTCTATGCCAGCGATTATCACAGAATGTGGAATAATGAAGCTTTGTGTTTGAATTTGATCATTAAGATATAAAGTATTCTTTTAAATTATATGCTTTATTTTTTGCATTAGAGCCATCTGTAAAATCAAGGCTAGTGCTCAAACGTTTCTTATTTATAGTTCCATACGCAGATAAATTTAGTTGTCACAAAAGTGATCATAAAAGTAATGTTCATTTCAAACATTATTTGGCAAGCAAGTTTACTATATGAAATGTAATGTGATTAACTTTTAATATCAGTTTATGTTATAAAAGCTGTTTACATATTTCTGGATGATCATGCTCCGTATTCATTACACATTCCTGAAATACAAATTAAATTTTTGAAAAATGTTTTTTAAATTTTAATTGTTTAAAAAATGTTGTAATATGCTTACATGCTACAAATTTTAAAAGCTACACATTATGGAAAGCCTATGGAAATTCTCCCTCTGTCTTTATGTCCCGTCTGCCCATTTACTGTTCCCACATATGTCGCCTGTAATAGTTTCTTGTCCACCTTATTAGAGATTTGCATGTTTTACATTTATTTGCTTATGCGTGTATTTGTTTTTTGAGAGAGAGATAAAGAGTGAGTCCCCTTCTGTTGGTTCACTCCTCCAAAGCCTGCAGTAACCTGGGCAGGATGAGGCTGAAGGTCAGGAGCCAAAAACTCAGTCCACTGTGGGTGGCAGGAATCCAAGTAATTGAAGCATCCCCTGCCCCCTGCCACGGCCCACGGAAACATGGACTGGATTGTAAATTAGAATCAGGACTAGAGCCCGAGATGTGCAGATATAAGAGCACGGGAACTGCCATGCCACACTTCTGCCCTGACTCAGTGCATGGAATTTTCTTTACCACAGTAATGTTAGTTCTTAAGATAAGAAGAATTAAAAGATTCCAAAGCATTTTTCAATTTTGTAGCTTTTATTACAGTTTCATTATAATAGTAATACCTAATGCTGAACATCCAATAGCTTAGAATTTCACAGGGGTCATTCCTTCGGATGCCTAGATGTTATCATCTTTTTCTTACCTTTGAGAACAAGGCAGGTTAAATAATTTGAGAACTGATGGACTCAGAATTCATCTTCTGTGTTTGAAGTCCTGAATTGCCTTAAGTAAGAATTATATCATTTATTAAGTCATTTAATTTAATTTTAACTGATTTCATACGATTATTTTTATTCATAGCGTAAGTTATTTTATATTGCTATCTAAGTATATCAAATTTTTAAAATAAGCAGAAAAAGATCTAAGGTTAATATTAAACCAAACAAAATATTTAACTATCATGGCTTGTTTGGGATGTTAGGGAGTGAGAATTTCCTAAATATATAGGTATCTTTTATTGAAAGCATTCATAGCATGTAACATTTTGAATTCCTAGAGTTTTCACATTCATAAGACTTTTGCATTTTAAATCTGAAAATTGCATTTCCATGTGAAATGTGTGTCTTTAGGTTGTTCAAACAAAATATTAACTTTCTTTGTATAATTATATTTCTGCATGATCTGATGCTATCCCAGGAAAATTGATGAAGTCTTTTCTTATGACATTCATCTATGTAATATTTTACATTGTTACTTTATATCATCTTAATATACTGTCACAAGAATCTTTTATTATTTTTTTTCATCATGCTCTTGACTATTTGATCTGAGGTTGGTATTGTGGAAAATACCATTAGAGAAATCAAAGACTTGGGGAAACCTTTTAGAGAAATAGCATTTCAACTCAAAGAATGTATTTTCTCACATGTAATGTTTTGCTTATAATAAAGCTTTTATAGCAAGAATTCTCTGTGGAAAGTGCCCACTCTTGGGATCAACAGCCCATTTTAGCAGTCTCAGGTGCTTCCAGCTCTAGCCTTCACTTACATGTGCCGCCCTGGCCGCCAGTTGCCACTGCCAGGTACAGAGAAACGCCACTCCTCTGCAAACAGTCAGTACTTACTTGACCTTTCCTAAAATAATTTTGTGCTCATCATCTTAAACAGACGTTTTCCCTTCTTGGGGAGTATTTTGCTGTTTCATCCGTGATCTGATGAGTTGCCAACCAATCCCAGCTCCCTGTAGTCTGTCTGCAGGGTCAGCCGGCCAGTCTCACATTTTTTGGCTTCTTACTACCATCTGTTGCCTATTGCCCAAGTGAGGATACTAGTGACAGTACACTAAGGTGTTTATAGATATCATGTCACTCGGTTCAACCAAGACTTTATGGTTCTGAAGTGTAAAATTAAAAAGTAAAGTTTTGTTCATTTAATTAAAAGTTAGTGAGACCGGGGGCTCGGTAACGTCAGAGAGAAGAGTCCCTCTGTCTGCTAGTTCGTTTCCCAAATGACTGGAGCAGCCAGGGTTGGCCAGGCTGAAACCAGGAGCCAGGAACTCCATTTCTGACTCCCACTGGGGGTGGCAGGGATCCAATTACTGAGTCCATCAACCTGCTGCTTTCCAAGGCCCTTTAGCAGGAAGCTGAATCAGAAGTGGAACAGCCAGGACAGAAGTGGAATGGCCAGCATTTGGATGTAGGATATACTCTTTGCAAGCAGTGGACAAAGCTAACGTTCCACAATACTGCCCCCCCCCACACCTCTTTTTGCTGAAGTAAATCATTTGGGCTTTTTTTTCTTCTATTTGATATTGAAAATCTCATGTGTAGTTTGGTTTCTTAAGAAAAAGCCTTACATTTTCTTTTTATTTATGACTCAGTTATTGATATAAATTATAATGGAATTTTTGAAAAGTCTATACTCTGCTAAAATCAGAATATCCATTAAATATGATTGATTGATTGGCTGTGGTATATTCATCATGAGATGCTATATACCTTCTGACTTAATCATATTTAAATCTATTTCAGTGGAATTATTTCAAACAAGCATTAAATTAAAATAGTTAGAAATACGATAGTACATATTTCACAAACAGATTTGAATAAACTATGAATATATAATAATGTTGATTGCACATTCAGTAGTTGTGAAAAGTTATGAGAAAATTGTTAAGTGCCTAAGTTTAGGACAGTGTACTGCAGGAGGGGAGTTTAATTAAAAACAATTTGGAAGCAAGCAGCTTCATGCGGATCTTTTCCATGGAATGAGGGCCCCAAGCACTTGGCCTGTCTTCTCCTGTTTTTCTCAAGCTATTAACAGGGAGCTGGATTGGGAGTGGAAATGCTGGTGTGTGAACTGGAACCCCTGTGTGATTCCAGTGAGGTGGTGGTTTGGCTTGCTATGCCACAACACTTGCTTGGGCTTTTACTTTTAGATGTGCAATATCCACATATATTTATTAATGAAAACCAATATACTGCTAGGATTATATGCTATTAATGTTTTGTTTGCTTAAAATCATAAAAATGTGTTTTGTCAAATATGGTATTTTATCATTTGCTTTCTACTAATTCTTAGTCAGTTATGTAACTTAGTTAAAGCACTAGTGACTATGTTTCAATATTAAAAACTGAATATATCTAAGAGGGTTTCTCTGTAAAGCCAAGTCCTAAGGACTATAACAATATTAAATTATTAATCACTTTCTCCTTGGGAAAGAATGCAGGGCAGCAGTGATTGTAATGAAATACGCTAAGCCTTCCTCTTATCAGATTCTCATTTCAGAGACCTGCAATTTGTTGTGGTAAACAGTGCCATTCAATTTTCAGAAAGTGGATACTGAGTGAATGCATATCGCGTTTGGGGATGATAGATTATTTTTCTATTTTATGATGGTTTATAATACTCATCAAGTTCATTCTGGGGAAATTATGCCAAACACTTCACTAGGGTGCGTTGTGGCCAGGATTGAGTCCATCATTTATGATGAGAGCCGAGTGATTTTTTTTGGCAAGATTTCTTCTCCTGCAGGCACATGTTAGGAAGTGATTGATAAGATCATACATGTGCTTAGACAGGCTGCCTCGCAGAATAGGAGCAGCACAAAGACTGCTTCAATGTCATGACAGTTCCATAGGGTGGAATCTCTCCTGTACTCTTCACAAGAGGTGGAATTCCTCTGTGATTGTCAATGAAAATGTCTCAGATACCTGTCAAAGAGCTGGATTTTTAAAACAAATCTAAATTAAAATTATTTGAGAAGATACATTAACACTATCTATTCTAATGTAGTTTAGGGTTCAACAAGTCAATAAATTCCCAATCTGAAATGAATATGTGTTACTGAAAGCCATGAACTCCGCCTCCCTTATCTGCCTCTCCTTCATCATGAAACAGACTGTTCTGTCCTAATCCTGCTTTCAGTTTTCTGTAACTGCAAAGTGAGTGATGATTTGTGCCTGCCTTTCTGGATATTCAAGTTCAGGTGGCAATTCCACAATTACCGGGGCTTCCTTTGCTTTTATGATTAACAGACAATCCAGTACCTCATTATGGGAATTTACAACT